GTGTCACTTTGGTCAGACCATAATACTAAAATATTTGGTCAAACGCTTCACTGAATGTTGCTGTGAAGACACTTTTTAGATATAATTAACATTTAAATCAGTAGACTTTTAATAAAGCAGACTGCTCTCCATTATGTGGGTGGGCCTCATGCAATCAGTTAAAGATCTTAAGAGAAAAAAAGACTGACCTCCCACTAGGGAAGGGGAATTCTTCCAACAGGCTGTCTTCATGCTCAAACTGCAACATTATGTTTTCCCTGGGTCTCCAGCCTGATAACCTACCTGCAGATTTTACACTTGCCACAATTCACAATCATGTGAGCCAACTCCTTGAAATCTCTTTCCCTCTCCCCTTCCCTGCATCCCCTACCCTACATACAATTGGTTCTGTTTCTCTAAAGAACCCTGACTAATCTACATATTAAAGGCTCTGAAAAGCTGTGCAATTAAAAATAAAATGGCTTAACCAAGTATTTTCCCATCTTATTTAATCCCAAAACATTTTTTATAAAATACCTACTATCAATAATATCTCAAAACATAGCTTGGAAAATGCCCTTTTCAAGACTATACTTTAGACCGAGGTTTTTTGCACTCTGTGTCAGCAATATTGGAGTCTGAATTCTGTTTGATTCACAAACTAGTGGCACAAATATTGGAATAAAAAATTCTGTGCATTCTTTTCTTCTGCACAGAGCATTGGCAGAAGAAAGCAATTACATGTTATATGAACATGATGAAGCAAATGTCCATTGCAGAGCCAATTTTACATGTAGTTACATCTAATGAAAAAGCATCTACCTGTAAAATCGACCCTATCATTTTGCTTTTGTAAAATGCTCCTGTATGGGTATCTTAGTCTGGGTAGCTATAACAAAATACTACAAACTGGGTAACTTACAAGCAAAAATGTATTTCTCCTAGTTCTGGCAGCTGGGAAGTCCAAGGTCAAGGTGCTGAGAGATGTGGTGTCTGGTGTGGGCCTGTTTCCTGGTTCACAGATGGTGACCTGTAGCTGTGCATTCACATAGTGGAAGGGGCAAAGCAGCTCCCTTTGGTCCCATTGATAAGGTCATCAATCCCTGAAGAGCCCTACCCTCATGAACTCATCACCTCACCAAAGGCCTCACCTTCTAAAAACATTATCTTGGGGTTTAGCATTTCAACAAATGAATTTGGGGGGACACAACATACAGACCATCACAGTGGATATTCTTGGGGACTGGGTTGTCATACTGAAACATCATCAATTGCAGTGTAATCGGCACAAGACAATGTACAAATGGCAGGGAGCCTAACAAGAGAAGCCAACTTACTCCAGAGAGAAGTCTCCATGCCCTATGCCTCCTTTTTCTCTTGTGTTCCCTTCTTGAGTGTGTTTCCAGAAATGTTCCTCACTGATCCCAATTCATCCCTCAGCTCTTATCCTAGAAGCCATTCTTTCCAGAAAGCCTTTTCTGACTCTGTCTTTACCTAAAACCCATCAGGCAGCCCATCCATCTTTCTTCCTTGTTACATGCATTCAAATCCCCTGCACCTCTTCACTGGACTTAGACACTGTTTAATATCAATGCCTGTCTTTCCTACAAGACTGTAAGGTCCACATGAAGTTCAGAACATGATGGCCCCAAGTCTGGTGCCTTGGCATACTATTTTAAGCTGAAGGAAAGTGAGAAAACTTCAAAAGCAGGAATGTCTCTCTGACCTTCTCCACCCTCTCTCTCTTGAAGTGGGCCATTGAAACTACAATTCCACCTGCCCCTTCTTCTCGGAAGCAAACCTTAAAACCTAGGAAGCTCACTCTGATTTTCTTCCTCCTTTCTCCCCTGAAAATCCCCATGTGACGGATGTGTCACCCTATAACCAGAAAAAAAGAAATGTCATGCAGGAATGCCAAGAGGAATCTGAACAAACAGGTCCTACTAAGTTCCCCCTGCCCCCCAGATTATTACCATTAATAATAATTATACTTTTGTCCTCCAATTATACTTCTGCATGACTATCTGTAAAAATAATTTCTTCTGAGTCTTTGGGTCTTTATGTCTGAAGGCTCCTATGGCACATAAAACTTATATTAAGTAAATGTGATATGCATTTCTCTTATTAATGGGTGTCAGCCAAAAACCTTGTGATGGATGAAGGTGAGAAAAGATGTTTCCCTTTCTCCCCTACATGGTCAGGGGCTATTTCTACCTTGCTTATCTCAGCAGCCATTGTCCCTGGCCATCATGGAAACTCTGACTGAAGTAACAAAAGGTTGAAGGGGGATTTCCTTCTCCCTAATTTTCCTCATGATTCCATAGAAATAATTCTTTATTGGCTGGCTGTAGTGCCTCATGCCTATAATTCCAGCAATTTGGGAGGCCTAGGTGGGCAGATCACATGAGGTCAGGAGTTCGAGACCAGCCCCACCAACATGGAGAAACTCTGTCTCTACAAAAAAATACAAAATTAGCCAGGCGAGGCAGAGCGTTCCTTTAATCCCAGCTACTTGGGAGGCTGAGGCAGGAGAATCACTTGAACCTAGGAGGCAAAGGTTGTAGTGAGCCGAGATCATGCCATTGCACTTCAGACTGGGCAACAAGAGCAAAACTCCATCTCAAAAATAAAAAAAGAAGTAATCCTTTCTTGGTAGCTAAATCAGAGTATTTTTCTGATTCCTCTTTAAAGATCTTCACCCTCTTAACCTTGAAAAAAAAATCTTTGTGAAGAATCCATGAAATGTTCACGTATGCATGTGTATGCCCACACTTGCCTCTGTACATTCACTTACTCTTGCAATAATAAATGGTCATGTGCCAACACAATAGTGTAAAAGGATTCAAGGAGCAGTAGTTTTGGGAGAGAGACTGAATCCAATTACAGCTGTATCATTATCTGGGTCAAGTAAAATTGTGCAAAAGTTTTCAAATCTATAAATAGAAAAGCAGAGGTTCAGTCTTGATTCTAGAACCCCTTCCTCTTCCTCTTTACACAGCCTAGTCCTATATTGTGCACACTGAAAATGGGTTCCTCTTCCAAGAATTACCTCTGAAAACAAAAGCATTAAGAAAAATAATGTATTGGCAAGTAGATGGGCTTTGATTTCAGGAAATTTGGCGGAGTCGTGGAGGGCTGTGTGTGTGTGTAAGGCCTGAGAGTGAGAATGAAATGCAGTGAATGCCAGACGTAGTTACCCTCTCTGTCTGCACCTCCATATCCCTCTGCCTGGTCTTCAGCTACTCACACACATTTCTCCTCTGCAGGGATCCTGGAGCTGGCATGGCCTCATCCTCTCCTTCCAGGCCCACATCCAGAGGCAGAAAACCTGTGCCACCACCAACAGTGTCATCTGAAGAGGTTGCCAATGGTCTATGCCCAGGCCAGATGCACCTACAGGGCTTTCCCAAGACTCCCTCTCCTTCACTCTGTGCCTGTAAATCTACAACGCAAGACTATAGATACCATTGGCTTCTGGAATGAAGACGCTAAGACCTAGAGAAGCCAGGGCATCTAAATGCCTTCCTTAAAGGTCTTTCTGCCTTCTTCTAATCAAGTCCTTCTGTAGCTGATAGAGAGGTTCAAACATGAGTAAGCAGCTCTAACAAAGAAATTCCTACCCACCTCTGCCCCATGCTATTTGAAACCAGGGAAATTCACAGATCAGAAAAGTTTAAATACACCAAATATATTTTGCACTTTAAAAAATATAGACTAACATAATACTCCTTGCTTTTTGGTCTAAGAAGTGGGTATTGAATCACAATAATGTCTCTTATTTATTTAGGAGACAAGGTCTCACTCTGTCACCCAGGCTGGAGTGCAGTGGCACGATCAGGCTCACTGTAGCTGCAAACTCCTAGGCTCAAGCAACTTCCAGGTTCAGCCTCATGAGTAAACTGGGACTAGTTAACTTCTTAATTTTTGTAGAGACAGGGGTCTCACTATGTTGCCCAGGCTGGTCTCAAATTCCTGGTCTCAAGTTACCCTCCATCCTTAGCGTCCCAAAAAGCTGAGATTATAGGCATGAGACACTGTGCCTGGTCACATCTCACTTTTTTAAGACAGAGTTTCGCTCTTGTTACCCAGGCTGGAGTGTAATGGCGCCATCTCAGCTCACTGCAACCTCCGCCTCCCGGGTTCAAACAACTCCCCTGCCTCAGTCTCCCGAGTAGCTGGGATTACAGGCACCTGCCACCACACCAAGCTAATTTTTGTATTTTTAATAGAGACAGGGTTTCACCATGCTGGCCAGGCTGGTCTCGAACTCCCAACCTCAGGCAATCCACCCACCTCATCCTCCCAAATTGCTAGGATTACAGGCTTGAGCCACCATGTCTGGCCTCACATTTCACTTTTAAAACTATAAGGATTACTTTATGATTTCTCAGAAAGCCAGAGTATGCTTACACCAGCACCCATGCCTATCAGGTCATTGATAACTCTTAATTAGGATTAGACTACCTGTTAAAGTAAATTGAAATTCATTGACATGATCCAGTTATCAAAAGACAGGATGCTTTTTATCATAAAAGCCTCTCCAAAATACCCTACTGATGAAAACATTACGTGAAGGACACCTTTCCAGACTCAGGGCCAAGAGGCCAAGAGACTCTGCCTGACTACACAGGGGCTGCATGAAGTCGTTCCACATATGGTGCAACAGGAGAATTCACCTGGGGCCTGGGACATGCAGCATCATTTCTAAACAGTGAAGGATAAAGGTAGAACCACCAGAAGCATGAAAACCCAACTTGTCAAAACAATCTTGGGCTTACTCAAAAGATGTGTTACCTTCTCTCTCTGCACCTCCACATCCCTCTCCATATTCCTTGGCCTCTCGGAGGAGCTACTTGAAAAGTCATCTCCACTTAAAAAATCCTTGGCTCAGAATCTTCTTACTGCGCTACTGTCCAAGTCTACTACAGTCCTTAGAATAACTGATGATGAAACTCTCCACCAATTTTTTCTTTTCGTGGGGTTAGGAGGGGGAAAAAACCAATGCATGAGTCTATTTGAAATCATTTTTATGAATTTTAATCATAGCAAATGTGTTTTAACAGTAGTCATAAAATCAACATTACCACATATACAAAGGACGAGACACCAGTTTGGCATACAAAAATACCATATATTAAAATGGGGTTCATTGGAAAACTCAGGACTGCTAAGACACCATCTATAACAGAGAGAGCAAGCAAGAATGCTTTTAAGACATTCAGATTTATAAACAGCAGCTTGATATCCCCCTTACGAAGTCAATATTTGGCAACATTTGAACAATATTTTCTACACAGCCCAGCAGCTCATTTATCTGTAGGGCTATTTGGCCCTTAAAAAAAAAAAAAACTCCTAAAATAAATAATCCACATAATTGTAAATGAAACACGTCAAGGATTTGAGTTAATAGCCTCTGAGCAGCATTAATCTAGCCATTAGACTGGAGTTTTTGTTATCAAGAGGGCCAGGGAACCCACCACTGAAGCTGTAGATGGAAGGAACCCTGGGCCGCAGCTACATGGCTTATGATGGGAGTTTGTTACAGCCCCAAGCTGAAACCAGCTTCCACACCTATGACTATGGAGTGAGGCAAACACAAGTGAGTGGTGGAATGAAAACCTATATGACAGCAACCAGGATTTATAAACTGAAATATTCTTGAACTCATTTTCCCGACAGTACTGACATACTCAAGTCAGGATAGATCCACAGGAATAGGCATTGCCTTCCATGGTTAAGAGGATTCTAGAGTCTTAGGGTTGGTTGTCTGCACCAAAGTGGCCACCAACTCCTGAGCAGGCTCTGAAATTGCCTAGTGTGCTAACAATCCAAGCCATGAGCATAGCATAGGGTGATGGGGAAAATGGGGCCTCTTTGGGTCCTCATCAGCTGAACATATTGCCCCATGTGTCTTAAGCATCCTGAATTGAACTTGGTAGTCCATACTGGAATGACAGATTGTGCTTGACTAAGTTGTCCTAGGTGCCCTGCGCTTCTTTCTCCAGCTGGTTTCTGCCATGTCTGGCCTTCAGCTCCTATATGTCTTGTTTTGCAGCTATACTCTCTTCCTTTATTAAGTATTTTCTCTCTCTGGGTTTATCTGCCTGTCCATTGATGTAGACCTAATGCTTCATTTCTCCCTCTCCCTCGACTTAATAGTTGAGTTGTCCCTCAACCCAGAAAATCCTAAGAGGATTTGTAAATGAAATCTTCATAGGATTTTCCTGAGGCACAGTGTAAGGTACCAGCTACTGCGGCCTCCCACTATTGAAAAACAGGTAACAGAGGTATTAACTAGATCCCCTTTAAGAGGCATTTGTCATATTTATTTCCTTCTGCTTACAGCCCAAGCTCTTCCACCACCATTATATCCAACTGTCTACTTCTAGATTTTCAAAAAGCAAATGTTGAATTAAAAATGGACCATCCCTTTGGAAAACTCCTGTTAGAATAACCCAATAACTCACACCCCAAGGAGATTACAGAAGACTTTCACATGGGCTACCAGCTCTACATCCCATGGCAATGAATTGAGAGCAGTGTTCTAGAACACAGACAGCAAAAGGGAAGCCTCCCCTACAAAAACAAAGAAAATGCATGCTGCTGCAGACTTCGAGAGGTCCCTCAGTGCTCTGCCGCAAATATTACTGATTGTCCCTAAAAATATCATAGTATGAAAAATATCAAAAACCTTAGATTAGAATAAAATCTAGCTAATGAGATGAGTGTTTCAAGCACCACTACATCATAGGTGACATGTATATAGTGGGATATCCCAGGCAGTGAATCCTGGAAAAAAAAAATTGTTGGCTTTACTAAGAAAATTTGTGCAGAAAAATGGGAACCACATTTCAGGGGTTCAAGAATAATGGTGCACTCACCCCAATCACTTAAACCGATCCAAAAAATAAGGTATTTGGAAGAAATTAAATGCCCCACCTGCTTACGTTCTTCAACAATCAATGGCTTTCCAATAAAATGTATACAGTAGAACCTACCTCCTCATACATTTGAAAAGTTTCATGTGTTTATATAGACACTCTCAAAGGTAGTTTGACATAATGTATGCAGCCCATAGCAACCAGTTAAGAAATTAACATCTAATCCAATATCGTATAACTCACAAATTGGAAAACAGGACTAACAATATTTTTTAACTTGATTTTTAACTCCAATTACAGCTAAATTGTGTGTGTGTGCCAATTACAGCTAACTTGTGGTGTGTGTGTGTGTGTCAGTTACAGCTAAATTGTGGGGTGTGTGTGTCAATTACAGCTAAATTTTGTGTGTGTGTGTGTCAATTACAGCTAAATTGTGGTGTGTGTGTGTGTGTGTGTGTCAATTACAGCTAAATTGTGGTGTGTGTGTGTATGCGTGTGTGTGGTCAGTTGTGTCAGAAAAATCAATGGCTTGAATTTCCACTTATTTTTTAGAAGTGTTTCATGTCGGCCAGGCACGGTGGCTCATGCCTGTAATCCCAACACTTTCAGAGACTGAGGCAGGCAGATCACATGAGGTCAGGAGTTCAAGACCAGCCTGACCAACATGGAGAAACCCTGTGTCTATCAAAAATACAAAATTAGCCAAGCATGGTGGCGCTGCCTATAATCCCAGCTACCTGGGAGGCTGAGGCAGGAGAATTACTTGAACCTGGGAGGCAGAGGTTGCAGTGAGCGGCAATCACACCCCTGCACTCCAGCCTGGGCAATGAGAGCGAAACTTCATCTCAAAAAAAAAGGGGGGGCGGTTCATGTTGAACAAAATCCAGCAACTGAACATCATTGTTTTTGCTTTTGAAATAGACTGCTACTTTCAAAACAGCTACTGAATAACCTTGGCTATCTTATTCTTCTCGATAGTTTCCGTTTTGGTAAGGATTACCTTGTAGGTGACAATTTACTGAGAATGATGGCAACATCAAGGAACAGCTTCTCCATCTAGGTCAGGGATGACAAACTGACACTTCTTATGTGGAAACAAAATGCTGACTGGTGGGCAGCATCGTTTTTCTGAGTGAAGATAGAAACTGAAGTCTTTTGTGCATTATTCCTCTTGCACCGATAACTTTTGGACTTCAATCTTCCTCTTAAGTCTAAAGAAAGACTACTATCTTGACAAAAAAAAAAATTAAATGATTTTTAAAGACAGGCTAAGAAGAAAAGTCTTGATGAGTTCTACAAAAAAAAAAAACAACAACAACAACAACAAAACTATTTCTGCTAAAATGAAGTGAATGCATTTGGTATATATTCCATTTGGAAAACAATGAAAAGCAGACTAACCAATTTTGAAAGCAATATAAGTTTTCAAATAAAGGGATGGGAATTCTTCAAATCAAAATCTAGACTGGAATAAATACCAGATTATCAGTAAGAATCTGGTATTTACAGAAAAAATATATTTCAAACTGAATTTTCTGCTTCCTTTTATTTAGCTAAAAATTAATTCTAGTAGCTTCAGTAACCTTCAAGTCTTTACATTTCATGGGCAATATGTTTTACTGTTAAAAAAAAAGTGCCTTTGTGCAAAGCTTCAAATCTTCAACTCTTTCAGTGATAACTAAAATTTTTGTTTAAAAAAGAGACTAAAACAATGTCAAAATCTCACTCTAAAAATAGTACCTACATTTTAGTCTGGCATCTGAAAAATGATGCCCACATATGCCCACACCAAATACAATGACAAGCTGGCAGACTTCAAGGGCAAACAAAAACAGTCTGACCACTGCAAACCATGCTTGCTCTTATATTTGCACCTTACTGATACAGCAATGAAGTCTGGATAAGATATTGGAAGTGAACAGGGATTTCATTAGGCTTTTTTTTTTTTTTCCTGTAACATTTACTTTTTGGCCACAGACCCTAAACACAATTTCACAGTATAGGTCATGCATAGCTTGCAAGTCAAACGTTTTATAGCTACTGTCTAACTACTATTTTTGGACAATAGGTTCACATGCAGCTAACGATCCCAGAAAAGGGGCTTAATAAAGCTCTCTTTAAGCTTCACTGATCATTCCTTGGCCTAAAGTCAATCAGCAACAGTTCCAAAGGGCAACAATGAATTTTTACCGTCATACTAGAGATCACATACTTTTTGAGCTGAGAAGAATTTTTTGCCTTTTGCCAACTACATGTTCCTAGCACACAAACTCTCTTCTCCACCCCACTGTTACTCCATTAACACCTTGATGCTAGATCCCCAGGCACAATCATCCAGAACTGTGTTGTTCAATATGGCAGCCACTTGTCACATTTAGATTTCAGTTAAATAAAATTTGAAATCCACTTCTTCCCTTGTACTAACTTCATTTTAACTGCCTGAAAGTCAATGTGGCTTGTTGCCACTGTACCAGGCAGCACAGGTTACAGAGCATTTCCATTGCCACAGAAAATTCTATAGAACTGTGCCAGTCTAGAAGATCTCACGGGTTATACCATCACCCGGTTTCACCTTCAAGGTCCCAATATGTAAGTCATGCAAAAAATTAAATAATTCTATTTTTAAAGAAAATATCTTAGAGCTTTCTGATCCTTAAGTATGACTGGAACTGAGAACCAAGTTGCCTTTTCATCACAACTTATGCCCCAAGTCATTATACAAAATGTTTCCGAAGACAATGCTTTTTAGTAGCATTCTTGGCTCTACTTAACAAATGAAGCATTCTCTTGCTTATGTCAAGATCATTAATAAAGACAAAAATTCATGCTTCTTAGAGTTTACTATTTACACAACACTCACTGTCCTTTACAAACAAGTGGGGTGGGAGATTTGGACACCAATGCTCTGCAATTTTAAAAATTCAAACCACATGGTTTGATAGCTGTCTTTCAACATCTATACTCATCCCTATGTCAACCCTCCTTTCGTTTTCCCAGAGGTAGATGCTAACTAAAATGAGCACATAAACCTACAAAAAATATCCTTTAAAGCAATAGTTGACTTAGTAAAGGGTATTAATCAACCCTAGAAAGGATCATAGCCAGATAGAGATAGACCTGGGATGCAGAGCAAGAAGACACTGCAGTGCAAAGTTCACATCCCCCCTTTTCTGCAGAATTACAAAATGGACCCATCTACAAAATGAAGCCACCGGATGCTGCTTTCAGCTCTAACTTTCTGTGCTCTCCAGTTGTGACTGTTCATTGATGTGCAAGTAAGAATTCTGGCCTCTTGTGTCAGTGGACTTTGGTCGCATGGGTAGATGTGTTCGTTAAGGGTCACTGGTAAATGCCAAAAGAGGCCAGAACAATAGGATGCCAAGTAACATTAAAACCTCTCTCTCTCTCTCTCTCTCTCTCTCTCCTCCCCCATGCTCTCATACACGCACACGCACACGCACACACACACACACAAACACACACACACAAGAATGCACACCCTAACAAACAGGTACACAAATAACTGCAGGCAGAATCCATTTAAACAATTTCAACAATGTTTCTTATGTCAATAAGACTCGCAAGAAAAAATAATAATAATCTGATTGTGGTTGCTGTTGTTAAATTTGAGGTCAGGAATCTACCATACTGCCAAATAATTTTGCACTGCTTAATGGCAGCTCTAGCACGGGACTGTTTTTAAGTAAAAGTTCTATGAACATTTTTACTCTACAGATTTGCACTAAGAAACACAGGACGCTATCATCACACACATTAGTGTCTATTTCTAACCTACTTTAACAAGTAGAACTCTATCACATACTACACTACAGGGTCAGTCATTTCAAACTGTACAGAAACATATGCAGATATCACTCACAAAATTAATTTGAATATGGCATAGCCTAAAATTGCGAGGGTAAAGTCTATTTGAAATGTAGCATTCTTAATGCAACATTTCTGTGGTGTATATACGTGTGTGTGTGTGTGTGTGTGTGTGTTTCTCCAAGAGAAACAGAAATTAGGTCAGACATGCATTACAGCAGCCTGGGAGAGTTAGAGAAATTGACACTAACCCAACAGTATATTATGTAATAGAGGAGAGTATTCAGCTAATATGATGCCTAAATTATTAATACCAAATAAATCCTAGATTATTTGTTGTATAATGCCCACGAGCTTACACAATAAAATGGCATTTTAACCTACTTTCTATTTTGAGCTTTCAAATACATTTCCTAAAGGTCTTATGATAAATTTGAAAAATTTGAAAAATCAGAGCTCCTAATTTTATGTTAAATTCTCATGCCAATTAGCAGTATTAGCGTCGTATTCTAGTCATTATATTTTTGTTTTATTTCACATTAATTCCATCACTTTTATATGCACATTTTGTGCTGTTTGAAGGTAACAGGTAGCATGTAAATAAATTAAATTATCTTGACCTCACAGGGCTGTTTTCTAGCCTTGCTTTTTAGAATTAGCCCTGCTGTCTTTCCTTCACTTCCCCCCACCCTCCTCACCATTTTCAGGGATTCAGTGGAACATAAAAAGTTATATTTATAAGTGGAGTCCTTGTCACATACCACTTGCTTCATGAATTCCATAAAATAAGTTAGATGGGAACTGTAAAGCTCACAGCTATTTCTGAATGCACATGCACCCAGGGACAGGAATTTATCACTTACATCTAGCAGAGCTTTCCTCATGAGCATGTAGAGACCATTGCACATTTAAGAATATTTGACAGTATATGAAGAACTGGTCCACTTATTTTGGGAATTTGAGCTGTTAGTTTACCTTGCCACTTTCCTCAGTAAAAAACATGTTAAATTACAGGAGAGCTTCTCTCTTACTTCAATAAGAGGAAACTGGAATTCTAACTGGTTTGACTCTCGTGGAAGAGCATCTTTCAAAAAAGAACCACAGACCATCTATTAAAACGCCCGCCCGGGTTGGCCATCAGTCACAACATTCATGACCAGCGCAAGATTCCAAAACTGGGAGAAAAGACACTGTTCTGTTACTCTCCATTTGCCTCTGACAAAATGCAGGACTCAAATACACAGAGGAGGAGTGAGCGCTGCAGGTGACGGGTAGGAGACTCCTCGCTGCGTGCAGGTGCCCATGAAGTGGCCACCGCTTCAGACGCTCGACTCACCCATGCCCAATGAAGTCTTAATCCTGGGATTCTTCTGCAAAGACTCAAACACCTGAGGTAAATCAAATTAGACACACATACATACACACACAAATACACAATATTTACATTTGAAATCCTTATTTTGTGAGATGGCTTGAGGAAAATCAGTGTACAGGGTTCCCGCAGGATTGGACATGTCTCACGACTTCTCGGTTTATTGCTCCCCTGTTGAGCTTTCAGTTTCATCAACACGTAGCGAGCTCTAATCACACATGAAGAAAATGAAGGTTCATGACAAAACACAACACATTGGAGACACTTGTTCAAATATTTTCTCCACAACAACGACTGTCCATCGTGACTTATTTTGTTTTGGTGCCATTCAAAATGTATAAAAAGCCTTAGCAACTAGATGAAGACTGCATTTCAATAAAAAGAACAACAAAGAAAAAGTAAAGAAGCCAGCAGTGCATGTCTTCACTGGATGTTTACACGGATTCGCAGGTTTAACTCTACTTGTATACACAGCATCTTTGTTTTAATCTACCGCATTTAGAGAAGATCACATTGTATGCACTTGCGCATTTTAACGTCTAAGTAGACTATGTCTATCTCATAACATGATTTTCAAAAATCATAAATTACAGTCCATTGAATACATGATTATGAGGATGCATGCAATCATCTTCAAAGCTGTTGCCATCAACACTCAGAAGAATTCGCCTGGTATCTTGTTGAGACCTCACCTTCTGCCCTTCGTGTCTGTCTTGGGGTAAATCAAGAGGCAACCAAGAGGCCAGAGCTCAGCACCAAATGGTCAGTGTCGCTCCCCCCCCCCATCTTCTCACCGGGATCTCATCACCAACCTGCTCAACCCCTAAGTTGGCACCCACCAGAGACTTCCCTGCAGCTGTCTTCAGCCACAGGAAATCACAGTGAAGCGCTTAGAGATGCAGGACATGTTGTGGAGCACGATGCCAAGGAGGAAGACCAAGACGCAGGCCACCAAGATGACAGTGCACACCCCCGACCAGGTGGAGCTTTTCACCACGCCCCGCCTGTCCTGCTCCTCCTCTGCGGCCTCCTGGGGAGCCCCACCTTGCAGAGGCTGCTGTTCGGCAGGGATGGTCACCACAGTGACAGACTTCTGCTGGCTCCCAGGCAGCAGGCGGCAGCCCATGTCTCCAGGCAGCAGCGCCCGCTCCTTGGAAATGGGCAGGGGCAGCATGTAGCACCCATTGCTGGGAAGTTTGATGAAGACCGGGGTGTGTTCGGAAGTGTGTGGAATGGCAATGACAGCCAGGACCTCCGGGTCATCGGGGAGCTGTGACACAGAAAAGCCGGGGGGCAGCTTGGTGACACCACGGCACCAAGGGCACCGTACGTCCTTCTGGCTGGTCCTCATCTGCTGGAGGCACACTGAACAGCAAGTGTGCTTGCAATCCAGCAACTTGGGCCTGCGCCGGGGGCTGTAGTAATTGAAACAGATCTGACATTCCAGCAGGGAGTCCTGGGACACCGTCTCCATGGTAGACCTTGAGCAGGAAGGGCAAGACCAAGGTGAAGGGGAAGGAGCTGCTTCTCAGAGGCTGCCACTCTGCGACTTTGCAGTGCCGGTGATGGGGAGCTCACAGGCATCCAGTACTCACAGGTGTGTTCATTTCTGAGAGAGACAAATAATGTAAACAATATTAATTATTTCAAAGATGTTGAGATGTCAACATACCTAATGGATTTATACTGTTGCTCAGAAGTCTTGACATTGGGCCAAAAGCCTAAAAATTTACCACTCTTGAAACTATAGGATTCCAATAACGCCCAGTGGAAGGTGAATGAGAGTTGTCTCAGAGAGCACGTCACGCCAAATACTTTGTTCATTTCCCAAAAAAATGAACATCTCCCATAGGTGTAGATGGTGTGCCCATATTTCACAAAGAGGGTATCTTTTTGTTTCTGTTTTATACATTTCAGCTAACTCTGGGTCATCCTTCTGAAATATACTGGAGAAACTCTCCTGCTTCCAATAAGTATGTAGCATTTCCTAGAAGTAAATTTCTCTCCATAGATCATCTGACCTTTTTTCCTGACTCTACTTACCCACTTGCAAGTCTTAATTGCAAGATTTAGGTAACTTCACAAGCCTAGGTACTTCCAATAACTAGCTTGCTCCATTTACATACATGGGTTAGGATTGTTCTTCTCTCACAGAGAATTAAAGTCAGACTACAGAAGAAGCATGTGAAGGCATGTTTGATCTTTCCCACCAAGTCATTTGAAGAGAAGAAAACAAAAACAACAACAAAACCAGAAGCAGCAGTGAACCTTCAGGTGGAGTGGATCACAAAGGCAAACTCATCACAAAGGCATCCCTGACACTTTCCAGTTAGTTTGTTTCATTACTACTTAGCTTTGCACCAAGTAACACAACTAAAAGCAAGTTCAGTTGACCCTTGAACAACACAGGTTTGGATCCACTAAAGTACAAATTTTTTGAATAGATACAGTCAGCCCTTTCTATGAGTGGATTCTGCATCTGTGACCAAATGACATCAAAATATGGGGAGGATGCAAAGCCCCCATATACCAAGGGCTGTCTTTTCATATTCTTGGGTTTTATAGTACTGACTGTGGGTCTTGCGTATTTGCAGATTTTGGTATACATGGGAGTCCTGGAACCAATGCCCTCAGAAAGAGGGATGTCTGAACCATTAATTCAGCAATTGAAATCAAATATTCTACAGTAAAAGGTTGTCAGAAAAGACCGGCAAGCATTCCTCATTGTAAAAACTAAAAAACAAAACAAAAACAAAAAACAGTGTTCGCATCCTGGTATGGAGGGGAGGCAAAGAAACTTAGTTCAACTTCACTGAAGTTTGGGAACCCCCAACGCTCCACTGGCATTTCGACAAAGGCTGCCTGACTCCATTTCCCATTGAAAGCATCCAAGTTACATGTTCCTGGATGGAGCCATGATGATTCTAGAATGAATGACTCAACCACTATTGCAGAAAAAATTGCTAGTCCTAGAACCTCACCAATACCTAGAGATGGGAGCTATAACAAATAGATAAGCTCCTTCACATTTTTCTTAAAAGTGACCCTTCTTTTTTCTTTCTAATTTCCTTTGTGAAACTAAGAAAGCACCACCCTCCCCCACCCCGTGATATATAATGTGTTAACAATCAAAATTAAGAATGCAGCAAAAGCCAACCTGGCCAACATGGGGACTCACACTGCAATCCCAGCACTTTGGGAGGCCAAGGAGGGAGAATCATTTGAGCTCAGGAGTTTGAGATCAGCCTGGGCAACATGGTGAAAACCCATCTCTACAAAAAATACAAAAACTAGGCATGGTGGCAAGCGCCTCTAGTTCCAGTTACTCAGCAGGCTGAGGTGGGAGGATCGCCTGAGCCTGGGAGGTTGAGGCTACAGTGAGCCGTGTTTGCACCACTGCACTCCAGCTTGGATGACAGAGTGAGACCCTGTCTCAAACAAAAAACAAAACAAAACAAAACAAAAAAACAAGAAAAAGCAAACCAGTTCAAAGACAAAAATAATCACTGTTAAAAAAAAAACTAGTAATAATCAAAAGATCAACATACTTTAAAATACGTTAGTTATATTAAAAGCACTTAAGTTACTGAAAGTGAAATACAGTAAGTGGCATTCAGAAAGTTCATATCAGGATCAACTACACAGCTATTCACTAATTCAGGAAATATTTATGGGCTATCTATTATGCACAAAGCACAATGCTAAATATTGTAGGATATAAACCAGACCCACATTCTACCCCAAAACAACTTAAAGTTAGGTAAGAAGGAACACGTGGATATATTTTTTCTTTCATTCTTGTATTCAAATTTTCATTGAATATCTCTTATGTGTCAAGCATAATGTTTCTTTTTGTCCCTTGTAACTAAGATCTTGTCACTGCCCATAAGAAAGTCCCGGCCTAGACATGGAAGTGCTGAGTACTTAAACAATTGTAATGTGAATACAAGGTACCCTGAGGGAGCTGAAGGAATCAGGGGCAGTTTAGTGAAAAATCTGGATTTTGGGATTAGACACATAAAATCAGGGGACAGGCTATTTTCAGGTTATGAAATCAGCATGAGCAAAGGAAAGAAGGTGGGCAATTACAGAATATTTCATATTCTACCTGGGACACTGGCTAGAGGATTGTTTCTAATAAGAGTAACCTAGAGAAGTCTTCTTTAAGAATTTGATCATTTTAGCCTTTAGGGTCTCTGATACAGATGCCTATTTTTTTTTAAGACAGTGTAATGGCGTGATCTCAGCTCACTGCAACTGCCGCCTTCTGGGTTCAAGGGATTCACTCCCTCAGCCTCCTGAGTAGCTGGGACTACAGGCATGTGCCACCACACCTGGCTAATTTTTTACATTTTAGTAGAGATGAGTTTTACCATGTTGGCCAGGATAGTCTTGATCTCCTGACCTCATGATCTACCCACCTCAGCCTCCCAAACTGCTGGGGTTATAAGCTTGAGCCACTGCACCCGGCTGCAGATGCCTCTTAAAGAAATAAAACTCTCAGAGAACCTGTAAGCACTCTCCCCAGGCCCAACTGGGGATAGCAGATTCCACAGGGAAGGAGGAAATGACACTAGTCAGGCAGAGGCCACAGATTGCAGACCTGGACTGTGGGCAACCCCCAGTGCCAGGCCAAGGATTCAGGACTTTAGAGTGAGCAAGGGGAAAACACCAGAAAGGTTAAGAGTAGCAGAATGATTCATTGAGGGAAGGCTGGAAAGACCTATTGGAAGGCTATTACAACATTAGGCAAGAGTTAATGAGTAGCTGAAATGAATAGTGGTGATTAGCAGGGAATGATGAGATGTGAGGAGAGGTTCACAGAATTCCAGCAGGATCTTGCAGGGTATGGCAATGAGGATGCACAGGGAAAGAAGCCAAAAATGGAGCCTTGAGAGGAGGGTAGCATCATTAAGAGAAACAGGGATCATAAAGAGAAATACAGTGAGTTCTGCTCAGGCCATATTCCATTGCAGGTGCTTGGAAGGTATTTAAGTTATTCAGGAATATTAAAGAGTCAAAGAGAAGGCAGGGCGCAGTGGCTCATGCTTGTAATCTCAGCACTTTGGGAAGCCAAGGCAGGCAGATCACTTGAGGCCAGGAGTTCGAGACCAGCCTAGCCAACATAGGGAGACTCTGTTTCTACTAAAGATAAAAAAATTAGCTGGGTGTGGTGGTGCACATATGTAATCCCAGCTACTCAGGAGGCTGAGACAGGAGAATCGCTTAAATCTGGGAGGCGGAGATTGCAGTGAGCCGAGATCACTCCAGCCTGGATGACACAGTGAGATGTCATCTCAAAAAAAAAAAGAGAGAGTCAAAAAAGCTGACTGATGCTGCAGAGGAAAGGAGGAAAGTCAGGCCAGGACCTACAAGATTGGGCGGCATCCACAGAGAAGCAAGATAATCCAGAGATAGACAAAACGAAAAGGAGAGAGCCTCCTGGGGAGAAGTTGTTCTTAAACCTGGTATAAAGGACGGGGCAGGAGTAGGAGGAGATCCATCAATGGATCCCAGCACCCAGTAAAACACTCCGAGCAGCCCACGGTCATAGGGGTGAGTGCTGAAGAAAGACCTCGGAGTTTGGTGACTAGGAGGTTGCTATTATTTTTAAGAGTAGGATCAGCAGAGTATGAGGGGTACAATAGAGTAGAAAGTAAATGGGGAGGCCGGGAGCAGTGGCTCAAGCCTGTAATCCCAGCACTTTGGGAGGCCGAGGCGGGTGGATCACGAGATCAACAGATCGAGACCATCCTGGTCAACATGGTGAAACCCCGTCTCTACTAAAAATTACAAAAAATTAGCTGGGCACGGTGGTGCGTGCCTGTAATCCCAGCTACTCAGGAGGCTGAGGCAGGAGAATTGCCTGAAACCAGGGGGCAGAGGTTGCGGTGAGCCGAGATCGCGCCATTGCACTCCAGCCTGGGTAACAAGAGCGAAACTCCGTCTCAAAAAAAAAAGAAAGAAAATGGGGTAGGAGAGTAGCTGAGAGGGAGGAGGATCTAGACACGCATTATTTTTTGAACAGAGGAATTTGAACAAAGAGGAGCAGTGAAGGTTAAGTCAAGGTGCTCAAAGCCAGAGGATCTGGTCTGTGCTGCCCACATAGTGACCACCAGCCACAGGTGCAAGGGAAGTTAGTATGCAGAGCTTAGAAAGGGGAAAATGTGTGAACTGCTGCAGCAGGGACTGAAGAATGGAAGTGGAAATCCCCAAGGTGTTCACGAGTAGGATAAAATTCTTCTATAATTTTATACTCAAGGTAATACATTTACTATTCTTAAAACGAGACAAAAACCAGGGTTTGTTGGTGAATCCTGCTCTATCTCTCTTCAGTGTTAAAGTGCACACACAGAGATCAGGCGAGAATACGATTGACTCTAGGGAGATGTGGCTGTGCCTGCGGGGAAGGACTGATCACTTTAAGATACAGGTGGATAGAAACAACAAAACTGAGGCAGGATATGAAAATTTACAGACTCCTGCAATTGTATGCATTTGGAGAGACTTTTCCTTAGCAACTTCACCCAGAACAAACACCCTCAATGTAAATGAGGATGGGGACAAAAATGTTTCATGACATATCAAAACAGTGACCATTAATTTACG